AGTCAATAAGCACCCACTGCTTCAACGAATCCATACCCACTAACCATCTACCAGTAATGGAAGCACGCTTGGATGGGGGGATGTGGCCAGCACTTCTACTTCTACGAGTGGTTGGTCATCCCACCAGCTTCAGGGGTATCCATTGCTTCAAACAATCAGCGAATTTGGTACCCTTTAATGGAAAACCACTGCATTTTGCTAATCAATATTGTGTTAGAAGCCCATCCCATCTTACCGACCCCGCCCTCTCAAAAAAGCACGCCCCGAGGATAGGGTGAACGAAAAAAAAGATCCTCAACAGAATGATTGATAACGTTACGTACAGAAGTGTGGAGAGAACGTTGCTGAAAAACGCTCAAATAATTGCATGAAGTACTTGTCACCGCGGGTTTTCTCCCGGTGCCCGTACCTTTATGTGAAATTCGCTTTAGTTACGGTAGTCTACCTGGGTACTGTAGATCAATCTGTACTGAAAAATATGTGATATTTTACAGGTTTCTCGGCTCAACCCGTCGTGGAGCGCTATTTTGTCGGTCTGGTAATTGGCTGGAAATAATCGACGAGCGAACTAGCCAATTAGAAACACGACGAGGCGGAATCGGCGACCAAGTACGAGGTACTCGACGTGAGGGCAGCCGATTCAGTGAGTTTCCGGAATAACTCAACAAATAAAATCTAAACCCGCATCGAATACGCAGCACACAGGTTTCGACATCTTGAAAAAACCGCTCGTCAAACTAAGCGTATCCTGTGTATTTAAGCCCCATGATTTTCCTACATTTGACACAAAATGCAATCAATCATGGAAAGTGGATTTTGTTACTTGTCAAGAATCGATTTATTGATTTTCAATTCCAGGTGTGCTCGAATTTCTCTCTGTCGCTATCGGATTAGTGAGTATACGAGGAGAAGTTTCACAAAGGTATTTATGTATGGATAGAGATGGAAAACTGTACGCCGCGGTAAGTTTAAATTATTAAAACCATCCTGAAATCCGAATTCGAAATTAAAAATGGAAGTTCCTGAACTTGAAAGTGATGGTTGAAAGGCGGTGTGTGGTTCACTAGGGCAGAAAGCAAATTTTTCGCGCTACGCAGCGCGAAAATTTT